AATTGTGGCATGGGATTACATAGTTCATTATAATTCGATCTCGTGTTTGTCACACCGACGATGCGACGGATTCTGAAGAGGCAGGTGCAAGGAAGAAGATGGTGGTGGCATCGTATAAGGTCGGGACGAAACTCCAGAAGCTGACACAAGAGAGCCCGAACGTACACGACCAGTTACTCACAATTTATGACGGTGGCCAAGCGATGTAAGAAACTAAAGGAGTCTCCAAGTCTTACGTCGGAGCTACTATCTGTGCAGACAGCGACAAATGCGAGAAAACAACTGTACATGAACTAGAGTCTCTCACTGTCAATGAGACTACCAAGAGGACAATGGTGTTCATCCCTCAGACTATTTCTTTTATTTTATATATATATTCCGCAATTTACAGATGTGGTTCGAAATTCAGCGGAAACTAAATTAGGCGTCCTGATAGTGATACATACAGAAGTGGCACTGTTGACTCAACGTACTTTCAGTTTCATGGTGACATGAATGCGGTGCGGAGGACCAGACTACAGCGACGTGGAGAAGTCGACGCGCAAGCAGAACCAGTATGAGTTCGTGGGTCCGTTCCCGTTCGCTCGCATCGTGGACAAGAAGGACCTGCCCACTGTAAACGAGACGTAAAGGTGTTCTCTCTGAAGATGAAGATCCTGAATAATGCCAACGCAACTCCTGTGTCTGCATCGCAGTAGCAGTGCTATCAGGATTCGAAAGAGTATTACTAAATCGTTTTGACGGAGTATTTTCACTTCGAAGCAGTATGTATAAGCTCACTGAAATTGTCGTGATACTCAAGACCATTACTACTAGTAGTATTTTCGATTGATTCTGATCTACTACTCGTAGTACATGAACTGTTGGAGCAATGGGAAATCGACCCATCCCTATTACTTGTTGCGGACCTGCAAGTGGTGATGCGTATGTTTATTATCGCATGAAATTACTCCAGGAAATGAGTATGAATTAGCACTGTTTATATGTACAAAGCCGACAGCAGATAGCAATCTAATCGTCTTCTTCAAGCTGCAAGATCGCTGAGAACAAAGTGGCAGAAATAGCTGCCACGAGAGAGTTATGACGCATCGCTTCGTTCGTCGTGGTTGTCGTTGGCGAGGATGATCCGCCGATACTGTCACTGTTGCTACTGTCGTCTTCTAGCATGTCGGTAGTGTTGTCGTCGAGGCTGCCGCTTTCGTCTTCAAGGCTGACGTCTACACATTTGTTGAACGAGCAGTAGAAGCCATCTTCGCAGCCATCTTCGAAGAATCCAGTGGCGAGGTTGAAACACTCGCCCTTGTAGCTAGGACCTCGACATTTGTTGCTGCCATTCTCGCAGTATTTGCCGGCAGAGCAAATGATGTGGCAGGTGCGGCCGTCGACTGGTTCCACTGAAACTCGACACAAGTCGTCGACGCATTCGTACCCTGCGTCACATCCGTCTTGGAAGAGAGCGATGCTGGCGTTGTAGCACTCCGTGGCGTTTGT